CATCAACATTTCCTAAACGTTGCTGGAATATCTTGTGTTACTTGGGGTGTGAGGGAAAAAGGGAAGACACGAGCAAAGAACTATAAATACATCATGGGGAAAGCCTGACTCTGACTCCCCTCCCCAACATGTCCTTGACCGTCAAGTGACTGGGGGGTAAATATAGCGTGAAGGAAAAAGGGGGCCAGCACGATCAATCTGTCATCGGGAGATAACGTGTCCATACACGTTGGCATAATGGAATCCGGCCCTATTGACTTCCCTCATGCAAAACGGTAAGAGTAAATGAAACTGGGATTTTATGATGCAAGATTCATGACATAATATTTACCAAATCGAAAAATCGCTTCATAAAGGTACATGCGAATCATCGTGCAGCCGATAATTTAACGTTATAAGTGGCTCATGAGTATATTTAGTTACTATACGACTCCAATTTAGTATACTCTAATACCAATATACCATTCTATAACGCGGTCCGTCGAGGTCCGACGAGGTCCGTCGAGGTCCGACGAGCAGGCTTGCTCCAGGCTGCTCCAGGCTTGCTCCAGGCTGCTCCAGGCTTGCTCCCGCCAATCCTACCCTTTTTATACTACTGCTATACGTTTTGCCCTGTAATGTAGGCTCAAGGAACTCCATGCCACTCAATTTCAACCATATATGTTACCCCTTTTTTTGCTGGCGGGAAATAGATATTTGGAAAAGCGACCCACCCAAAAGCTGTGCTCTGGGGAGATGCCCAACAAAAGCCGAATATTTCCTTAAATGAACATCACGTCCGTTATGCGTACGCCAGCTACTTTTCTACTTCTGCCCGTTTCGGTAGGAAATGAAAAATTATTTGAAAACGTTACGTCATCAAGAAATATGAACCCCGAAAATATTTTGGAAATTTGACGTTTGACATTTGAGCTCAGTGCGTCAGCGGTCACGTTATTGCAAAGTTTCATCTTTCCATGTGTCTCCGTTTGGTTGAAGCAAAGAAAACTATTTGAAAATATGTTCCTCGAAAAGGTGCACCCTTTTGGCATGCATCACCAAAGTATAATCATTCCTGGACTCAGCATGCGAATAGCTGACTAACTTGTCAGTTAGTCAGCTACTCACGTTCGTCTATGTATAATAAAAGTGGAATTTTTTTTTTTGCTCAGCTATCCATCAGGTACTTCTTTGCCAAGTTTAAACTTCTAGCGCCCTGTTTTCCTGATCGGAAAATTCGGGAAAATATGCCATTTCCAAAATATGTGCCCTGAGCCGTTTTCACCGAAAAGTATCTTCTTTTCTTTCTT